TGGGAATGTTTTTCCAACTGTTCCTAAGAGGTGGCTCAAAGATAACAGGGATATTTAGATATTTTCTTTTAAGTCTGAAAAAGAAGGGTATTCATTTCGTTAATTTGAACTTCATGAGTACCAGCTGAGTACCAGCATTAGCTATTTAACAGTAAAGATAACATAAACATGCATTGAAATTATAAATAAGATTTCATTGAAATCTTCTGTCTGAAGAACACCAGTCCATGGAACAGAGTCCATACACCTCCTTAGCATGACAAAAGGTTCTTTCTGATTGGCATGTACCTATTTTAGCATTCTGTGCCATGACTGTTATGAAGGATTTGCTCCTTCATACCTCCTTTCCCAGGTACTTTTTGTTTTTTTTCCTGCTTAACCTGTAATGTCTTGCCCTTAAATTGTGAGTTTTTTTTTTTTCTCTCTCTCTTTCTTTTAGTTGTCAATGGACCTTTACTTTATTTATTTACATGCCGTCCTGAGAATCAAACCCAGTGCCTCACACATGCTAGGCGAGCTCTCTATCACTGAGCCACAACCCCAGCCCCAATTGTGAGCTTTTTAAAAGGAGGGACAAGGATACGAGGATACTCATCTTTGTGGGCACAGAGCCTAACAAGATTAAAACAAAGTTAATCTTTTTAACCATCTTTAACTCCTCAGTTGCAACCAATGTCCTGTCAACCCAAGAAGTCTATACCATTGTTTTTTCATCCATTCCCATGCTAGTCATTTTAGGACTACATTCAGGGTTGAGGATTTAAGAATATTCTTCTTTTCCTGTCCCTCAGCCCATAGACAAACCTCTCTCTGCTTTAACTTCTGCCTGGGATCCTTTTCATTTCATGATTAACACTAAAAGGATATTAAGTATTAATATATGAAAATGGTAAGAAAATTGAGTTTACCATGCTCTTCTTTTATTTGGTTGGGGGTGTGGCTTTTGAGCAAAACTATGGAACATTAAGTAGCTAAAGGAGGACTCCTGGGAAGAAGTTGCTTATGTTGTGCAAGTGGCAGGTTAAGGGCTCTTTTGAAAACATCTGATTTGATTCTTTTTTTAGTGTCACCTTTTCTTACTACAAAGACAAATATAACCTATGAGCGGATCTTGTCTTACTGCTATCTCATAGTCCCCCACAAAAACATTTTATGAGACAGATGTGGGAAAGAATTCTAGTAAGAGTTTTGTCACTATTTCATAATGTAGTGGTTTATATACTTAAGTTATACACTTTGAACATGTGAAAATATGTGTACACTAAATATGCAGAAATCTTTATTTACAATTTGAATCCTTATAAAGCTATTTAGCTTTTGGTCAGTTATTTTGTAATCTTTCTCTGAAGATGATAGTAGCACCAACTAAGGCACTACTGCTGTACCACAGGCTACTTAGCAGTGCTACCCTTTAGATTTATCATTAAGAATAGTTACTAACATATTTTAGATCAATTTTTCAATAATTAATCCTTGGATTATTGAATCTATTATTTTCCATTCTGAAACATTTTACCATGACTTGGACTCACTGAGTCTAATTTATTAAAATAATTTGTTTTCTTCTAGGTTTTGGACGGAAAGATGTAGTTGAATATTTGCTTCAGAATGGTGCAAATGTCCAAGCACGTGATGATGGTGGGCTTATTCCTCTTCATAATGCATGTTCTTTTGGTCATGCTGAAGTAGTCAATCTCCTTTTGCAACATGGTGCAGACCCAAACGCTCGAGATAATTGGAATTATACTCCTCTCCATGAAGCTGCAATTAAAGGAAAGATTGATGTTTGTATTGGTAAGACTATTTACTTTTCAGAATTTCCCAGAAATTCTAACTGTTTAAGAGTTTATATTGAATTATTTGTTACTATCATCAAATTCTGCCATACTAAACATAAATAAGAACACTTCATGATTTTTTAAATTTATTTATTCTAAACAGTTTGTGATTTTTAATCTAACCACTGTTTACTGAATTGCCTTTTTGTGTATAATACTTAGCTTAAATTTCTTTGCAGAATAGTTTACAAAGTTCCTGTTCTCCGGAAACATACATTCTCTTGGGAGATAAAATACACAACCAGCTAAAGATACAGTGGAAGTGAAATTGACTGTTAAAAGAAAAGTGATTAGGGCTATGACTAGACTGGAGTCAAGTCTCAGAGCCCAGTTTCCTGGAATCTTTCTAGTCTTTCTAGTGGGACACAGGTTAGGGATTTCTTTATAAAGAGCTTTGAATTTTAGGTTATGGAGCTCGCTGTTGCTAAGTAAGTAGTGTGCAATATTGAAAATAATTGAGGTGAACAATTTCACGAAAGTAGTATATTTTAGAAACAGTAATCTGGTAGGGAGCTGGGTAGAATGCCAGCATCAGGGAAACTGGAAAATAACCCAGGTAAGAAATGAGAGAATGACCTCAGGTCACACCAGGAGATTAAAAATGACAGATTAAGTAAGAAGCGTTTGGTGGAAAAAATATTATTTAGAATATTTGAACCTAACAAGTGAGACAGGATTTGCCTGACAGGTTGATCCCTGAACAAAAATGATACATGAGAAGGCTGTTTGAGATTTTTTATTAATCAGGGATTTGGGATTCATTGTCACCTTAGCTCCATTGTTTTTCCTGATTCAAAACAGGAACACTTAAAACTCTTTTAACACAAAGAAAGGCAGGTCTGAGCACCAGGAAAAGTCCAGGAGCTCTGTGCTGGAATTAAACTGGCCTTCCTCCTCCAAAATCCCCATTTACTACACCAAAGTCATTAGTTTGAAATGGGTCATTTATTAAGATGCAAAATGAAGAACTTACTTACCTTTGTCCAGTTCTCCTTTTCTATGTGTTAAATTATTCTTGCCCTTTGCTCAGTCTACTCTTTGTACCACATAACTCATCCCTAGTGCCTCGGAGTCTCAGGCATATAAATAATTTAAATACAATAACATAGAGTTTTCCAGATGTGGTTATGGATCCATACTCTCCAGTGTAGTAGCTAAGGACTTAGAAAGGAGGCTAGTCTTAATTGAGTGTGCTATAAAGGAAAATATACACACTATTTCAAAAACTTAGTACCAAAAAATAAAAGAATGTAAAATATCTCATCAGTAATTTTATATTGATCATAATATGAATATAAATATTGAATATTTAATGTATTAGGTTAAAATTAATTTAAATTTATTTTTAATGTAACTACTAGAAAATTTTAAATGACATTTGTGGCTTACATTCTCACATTTTATTTCTATTGAATGGCACTATTAAAGACTAGAATGAAATGGAAATTAACCTATCAAAGAATAGGGGCTAAGCTGAGCTTTTTTGTTTGTTTGTTTTGTCTGTTTTTTCTTAGCTCTTTATTTATAGAATGTCTTGGAATATCTTCCTATAACAAATAACAATATGAATCATAGCATAAGGCTTCTCTTCTTATGTGCCTTAGATTATATCTTTGAGGAGTTTTTTTTCTTTTTAATGTATTTATTTTTATATGGTGCTAAGGATTGAATCCAGTGCCTCACACGTGAGAGGTAGGCGCTCTACCACTTAACTACAGCCCCAGCCCCTCTTTTAGGTTTTATTGATGACTTTTTAAAAGAATTTACACATGTACAAAGTATTTTAGATATGAAAAAAAAAATTTACCCATGTGATTTTTTTTTTTAATCCTATACATCTTATTTATGGACTATCTATAGCTTTAGACATTTAATTTATGTCATGATAGAATAGTCTCCATTGGAATGAGAAAAGCTTTCAAGCAAACTTGCCCTTTTTCCCCTTATATACTTACCTGTCATTAGTCAGCTCATTACCATCTATATAAATAGCCAAGGAAAATCTCCCATTAAACTGAAGGGAAACTTATTTAGTGTGTCTTTAACACATTGAATACTAGACTGTTTTATATATTCTTAAGTTTAAAATATAACATTTACCATGCTATAATATGAAAGATTTTTAAACTTCTTTGAAACATCTGGAACAGAACTCTTAAGAAATTGATTTACTTCAAAAAAAAAAAAAAAGAAAATTATTTATTAAAATCAAGTTTTTATTTATTAAAATCAGTCTAGGTGGGGTTATGGCTCAGTGGTAGAGCGCTTGCCTAGCACAGGTAAGGCACTGGGTTTGATTCTCAGCACCACATAAAAAAATAAATAAAGATATCCTGTTCATCTACAATCTCAAATATTTAATAATAAGTTGCAGTGGCAGAGCAGCAAGGATTATATTCAAAATGTAAAGTGGACTACTATTACATTTTTTTAAAAAATCAAGTTAATTATACTTGCCATTTCTTAAAGCAGTGTTGCTATTTTTCAGTGCTCTTACAACATGGAGCTGAGCCAACCATCCGAAATACAGATGGAAGGACAGCATTGGATTTAGCAGACCCGTCTGCAAAAGCAGTGCTTACTGGTAAGTCGATATACTCTCTTTGGTTATTCCAGGAAGACTATAAAGAACAAACTTACTAGGTAGACCATCTGCCTCCTGCAGTTAATGATCTCAACAAGGATTTTTAAACAGTTGTCAGTTCAGTTGCTATTCTTTTCTTCATCTAGAAAGTTGACATTTGATTCCTCTCTAAAAAAGATAAAGCTTTTTTTTTTTTTTTTTTCAAATTCATTTTAAAATTTGTCATTGTTATCTTATTAAGTGTGTTTGCCACTGGGTATTCAGGATACTTTTTAAATATCCCTGAATGTTTCAAATGTATCTACCCCTTTATAAACTATTACTTAGGGAGGAGGGAGTGTACTTTAATTTAAACTTTGTTGATTTTATAGTTTCATTTGTATTATTTTATAAATGTTTTCAGCATAGTTTATAATTATTTTTGTATATGTAAAATAGCATCAATGTTGAAAAACTCTTTGGATTCGTAAGGATTTAATATTTATGTTCAGTTAGTGATGCAATAGATTTTTTTTGTAATATTTGTAATGTTGTTATATTAGGTTTGTTTTGTTTTGATTGTTGTTGTTTTATTTTCCTTTTGGTGCTGGGGCTTGAACCCAGGGCCTCATGCCTGCTAAGCCTGTACTCTACCACTGAGCTACACTCCCAAACCCCTTATTTTGGTTTTGAATGTTTTGGATACATTTGTCAATTATGTTAAAAAAATAACATCCTTATTTTAGGGGAAAAGAAGAAAAGAAAAAGTTCACCAACAATCTACCAACCCAGATAAAACTTTGTTAATATTTCCTTCTGGGCTTCTGTTTCTCTGTGTATATTAATTTTTTGTAGGTGTAGTCATACTTTATTACATAACATGGAATCTTTTTTGTAAACTTTCATAACTGATATTTCATGTCCTCATGTAAGTATTAAACTGCACGATATGCTGTTTATTAACCCCTTTCCATTTATTAGAAATTTGTTTTCAAATTTATCTGTTTTAAATAGAATAGGCATCTTTTTGCATAAAACTGTCATTGGTTTTTGTTTTTTGTTGTTTTTTTTTAATTGCTTCTTATTTCCCCCCCCTAATTCACAGGAGAATATAAGAAAGATGAACTTTTGGAAAGTGCCAGGTATGTACTAATGTTATTGAATATACACCATGAATTTTTACGACTAAAAATTTGTTTATAAAAGTATACTTTAAAAGAGAATGATAAAGGGAAATCAGTAGAGGGACCAAAGGGTAGAATGTAAAGAGGGACAGGGGAAGTGCTGAGGAGTGGTATTGCTCAAATTGTATCATTATATTGTGTATTGTATGCATGTATGAATATGTGACAACAAATCCCATCAATATGTGCAACTATAGTGAACCAATAAAAAAAAAATATATGGTAGTGGGGATGAGAATGAGTTTTGTCTTAATGGCCCTAACACATGCCTCTAGATATGATTTGATAAAGAATATAAATTGCTGGACTGGGGATGTAGGTCAGTGATATAGTGCTTGCTTAGCATTCAAAAGGCCCTGGGTTTGATCCCCAGCACCATACAAGAAAACACACATAAATAGCTAATACTTTTTTTGTGTTCTAGGAGTGGCAATGAGGAAAAAATGATGGCTCTTCTTACACCATTAAATGTCAACTGTCATGCAAGTGATGGCAGAAAGGTAATTCCTTTTGTAATTAAGTTTGTGCTTATCTCCTGGTGATGGGTAAATTAAATTGAGGAAAGTACTGATTTTTTTTTAATAGTAATTCAGATTAATTCTCAATTTTAGTAAATGACCTGGCACAGTGGCATACTTCTGTAATCCAGATATTCTGGAGTCTTGAGACAGGAGGATCACAAGTTCAAATCCACCCTAAGCCACTTGGCAAGATCCTGTCTGAAAATAAGACTGGAAAGGGCTGGGCATGTACCTCAGTAGAAGTAGATTGCCCCTGAGTTCAGTCCCTATAACTGGGATTTAAAAAAGAAAAAAAAGCAAACTTAGTGGGACTTTATTGATAATAAATATTTTAAGTTGTCTGCTTCCCATATGCAGTAGTGAACATCAAACTTTAATACGGTGCCCTCAGTATATATGTTATATTTTATTTAAAAAAATTAAATTGATGTTACACAAGTTGTAATTCGATTTTCTGGTTTTATATTTGGGATTTTACCTTTTTACATATTTTATTCATTCATTATGTGATTTTATTAATTTATTTGATTAATATTTCAGTCAACACCATTGCATTTGGCAGCAGGATACAATAGAGTGAAGATTGTACAACTGTTATTGCAACATGGAGCTGATGTTCATGCTAAAGATAAAGGGTAAGCATTTGAGCAAAAATAAGGACTTTGTTTACAGTACACTCTGAAGTCTTATAAAAAGCATGTTTTTGACTAAACAACATTATCATTTATTGAGTTTTTACAATTTACAGGTCACTCTGAGGGTAGAGAATTATAAAACCTTAAGCCTCATATACAGTACTTTATGGATCATGAAAGATAACTGATAAAGAGATCTGTACCAAGTGCCAGGTGATAGAGAGGGTTTTCCAGGAGTGGGTCTATCAGTGAGGGATGAAGTGGTTGGGAAATCCCTTCAGAAGGCTGTGGTACTTGACCTTGACTTTAAAGCCAAGTCTCAAATAAGAAAGCAAAGTGGGGAACATCACTCTGTAAGAGAATCGATGTAAATTTAGGTACTAACCCAGATGATATAGGACATTTAAGAAACTATAACCGGCGGGGTGGGGTTGTGGCTCAGTGGTGGAGCAGTTGCCTAGTGTCTGTTAGGTACTGGGTTCGATTCTCAGCATTGCATATAAACAAACAAAATAAGGTCTGTTAATAACTAAAAAAAAAAAAAAAAAAAAAAAAATACATTAAAAAAGAAGAAAGAAACAGTGACCAAGGATGTTGCTCAGTGACAGAGCACCTAACTAGCATGCACAAGGCTCTGGATTCAATCTGTGGCACTGAAAAAAAAGAAACAATGAATAGATCAACTTGACTGAACCAGATGATTCATATAAGGAACAAATAAAAATTAGGATTGGAGAAACAGGTAAGAATCAGATTTTAGAGAAGTTGATATCCTATCCTGAAGAATTCAAACTTTATTCTTTCATCATAAGCAATCTATGATCTGAAACAAGGGGATTTTTTCCCCCTAGTGGAGTCTTAGGAGGCGTATTCTGGAGCAATGTGTGAGGTAAATTGAAGAAGGAAGAGACTGGAGCAAAAGGAGCAATTAGAAAAGTGAGCATTATAGGAGTTTGGACATAATGAAGATCTTTAATGATGGTAGAGAAAAATGAAAATAAAGGCATAGATGCAATAGATATTACAGTGTAAGAATGGACAAGATGGCACAAAGTCTAGACATGAGAGAATGTGGAATAAAAGGAAATCTGTTTTACATCCTGAAGTGGAATGAGACCCAAAAGTACACATAATGAAATACAACAGTGAAAACTGGGGGAAAACAAGTTCATTTTTACAACTTTTGGTTTTATGTGAATATAATGGGAATTCAAATGGAAATGTCTACTACATAGTTGGGAATAAAATTGATATTCAGGCAAGTAAAAGAACCATATATTTTAAAATGGTATGGCAGAAAGCCATTAACTTTTAAAGAGAGATGTATAGAACTAAAGAGACTAAATTGCAGATGGCCATCACCATAGATCATCATGATAGTGGCTATGGCAATTAATTAGTGACTAATTCCCCAAGGAGAAGGAGAAGCTTAAAAATAGGATTTGATGTTCCACTATACCTTTCCATGTATCATGTTCTTCCATTCTCATCATGAATGAACTGGATTTCAGTTTGTTGAGTGTAGCAGTTCTCTTTATAGGATTTTAAAAATATTTCAGAGAAGAGCCATTGTTTGGGCTGAGTCTAGAAAAGATGTGTAACAGTGATCCAAAGGAGGGAGAGAAATTTATCTTATACCCAGGATGCAGTATGTATAGAGACAGAGGGCACTGTAAGTTCAGCATACCTTTAGTAAAGGGAAAGGCCAGAGAAGGAGTCTTGTTAAGAAGTTACTACTATCTCTTAAAAGCAACAAGGAACCACTAAGGATGTAAAAACAAGATTAGCCACATAAGAAAAATCTGGCTGCAAGCAGCCATGGTGGCTCATGCCTATAATTTTGGTAACTTGGGAGGCTAAGGCAGCAGGATGACAATTTCAAGGCCAACCTGAGCAATTCAGCAAGACCCTGGTTAAAAATTATTAAAAAGGCAGGGTGGGAGGGTGGGCTATGTGATGTACCTTCCTGATGGCACATCCCTGGGTTCAATTTTCAGTCCCAAGAAAAAGAAAAATCTTGCTATAGCTTGCAGGATAAACTGGAGTGGAGCTATTTAAGTAGTTCAGGAGACAATAGACCTAAACAAAATTAGTGGAAGAAAAAAGAAAAAGAGATTTGAAAAAGAATTAGGAGTTAGAATTTTTAGGACTTAGGATTCAAATGGATGTTACCAAAATTGTACATTTTTATTAGAAGTTCACATAAGCCATTTTCTACTTAAAACAAGTATAAATTTAGAATAATTTAAGTTTGAACATATTTTAATTTGTAAATTTCTCTACACCTAGGGAATATGTAATAATATAGGCTTTCCCCCCCCCTCTTTCATTTTAGTGATCTGGTGCCGTTACACAATGCCTGTTCTTATGGTCATTATGAAGTAACTGAACTTCTGGTCAAGGTTAGTTCTCTTATACCTTTCTGATTATTTTCTCCTATAAAATTTTGTAAAGTATATAGTGTATCTGGGTTTGTTCCTGTGTTCTAAATTCTTAGTAGAAAGAGAAGCCATATGCCAGGCACAGTGGCACATGCCTGTAATCCCAGCAACTCAGGAGGCGGAGGCAGGAGGATCATGAGTTCAAAGCCAGCCTCAGCAAAAGTGAGGTGCTAAGCAACTCGGTGGTCGAGCTCAGTGGATGTGGTTTAGTGGCCGTGTGCCCCTGAGTTCAATCCCCAGTACCAGAAAAAGAAAATGAAAAGAAGCTATATGTATAATCATAAAATACAGGTGATTAACAGATTATCATCTAACTGCTCTCATATTTTTGAGATACCATACACTTCTAAATATAAAATAGTACTACCATCATGGGAATAGCAGATTAAATGATTCTGTAATTTGTAACTAAAGAAAGCAAGTTTTAGTGGCTCATATTATTTAAACCAAATATATTTGCAAGATTTGCTAATTTGTATTTTAGATTGATGCAGGCTTACTTGGTAAGCTTTACTAGCAAGAAACTTATTTTGACCCATACTGAATGAGAGTAAAAGACATGTGTCATCCTTGAGAATGAATCCAAGGATGTTACTATCCCTCAAATACTTTTCTTACCCTCTCAGCAGCCGTCATGGGAAGGAAAAGAGGGCACTTGTCTTCCGTGCTTCTTTTTTGGGCATATGCCACCATGGAATACATTTTTCCCATTAGAAACAATGTGTAGCATTTAAGCAAACCTCTTTAAATACCTGTAGTATCGGGCATTTGTAGCACTAATGCTTTTGCTTCTTGTAGAAGTGAGTCTTGAATTCAATAGAATATTTGGAACATTACTATGAATAAAGAGTGAAACAGATTGAAAGTATTCAAAGTATAGCCCAGTGGTAGAG